GAAAAATTTGGCGATAACTAAGCTACAGCTATCGAAAAGTCCTGAGTTTCGAGAAAATGATGTGGCTAGCTTAATGAAGGGGAAAAATGGATCTAAACAGATAAAACCAGATTAAGGGCTAAATATGGAAGCAAGATTATGACAGAAAATAGAAAGGATGCATATGCAGCAGCAAGAAACATAACTAACCAATAAATCAAAGTGCAAAATTTGAAGATGTGCAACAGGGGCAAACGGATCTGAAGAGGAGACGACGCACTTAATGTGCTTGGGTTGTAAAACAATCTGTTTTTTAAATATAGGGCAATCTAGAGTGATGGATTCGTATTCTCCACCCTCTCCGCAAGCATTCAATGGGACAGAAGATGAGGCTAGCTTTCGAAGATTCGAAAATGCCTTAGAAATGTGTTGGCCCAAATCACGATTCACTGAGAGACCAAAGGAAGCTATCTGATTGATGAGAAAATAGAAAACATAATCAGTTTTAGCAATCAATTAATGCTAATTTTTATTGCTCACTTCCCTCAGATACACTTTGTTCCGACCCAAAGTTTCTTACCAAACTAATAGTAAATTGAATTATGGTAAAGCTAGTGCTAGAAAAGCACTATGCCAAAGCAAAATAAAATAGTAAAAAATAAAATCTATTATGCAAAGTAGGTAGTTAATTTTGCTAATTTCCCAACTGAAAACTATATGACCGTACTCAGCTAATTTTTTTAAAACGGGAATTATTTCAAATAACTAAAATAAGGTCATTTCAAGGGTCCATCTAAATAACCTGGGAAGGATATTTAACATTTCAATCATAATGCCTAAGTGTATTGATAATAAATCGAAAACCGACTTGAGAGGCCAAAAATAATGAAAACAATAGATTTGGATCATTAGCACTCTTTTCAACTCGTATATGACTATCATTAGAAATCACGAGTGTGTAAAAGTGTGCCTGTGGCCCAATTTATAAGTAGATTGCCTATTTCAAAAAACGTTTAACTTTAGTGCATCTACTAAGGTATGAAATTTTCGAGGGCTTCCAAATAATAGTTGCGAATTAAAAAGTTAAGATTAATTTCCAGGTTGGGCAAATAACAATTTATGGGTCATTTTAAGAATCCTTCATTATTAGTCTGATAATCAAATTCGCTACCTTCAGAGAATTCAATTCACGATCGCTCCACACTTAGATGCTTAACAAAGCGCATAGAGTTAAATAAGTTAACCTAGGAGCATAAATACATGATTCTGAATACATATTAACTAAGATTAAATAAAGCTTATTATGATAAGATGGTGAGCCTTCCAGCAAAAAAGCATATAAAACACAAACGGATACCTAGAAAAATTTACAAGCAAACACTCAATGCTAAAAGAGATTTTCAAATACATGATAAAATTACGATACTAACCTCCAATTTATTCAAAAAACGAACATAAATAATGACTCGCCTATATAAAATATAGGTTAGAGAAACAGAATATTAAACCGAATAAGAAATAAATGCTTAACAGAGCCTAATTCGCTATAAGAATACCTCTTGTAAAGCATGCTTATGAGAAATTTTGTGGAAAAACAAGTTCTACAGATATGATTGTGGGAAAATTCGAATGAAATCCCTCGTCATCTGAAAAGGGATATGATTAACACATTTCATAATATTGTATTTTTCTAAAAAATTAATTTTGATTATACCGTTACTTGTTCTTCAAATGATTAATTAAGCTTGTATTTATTGACTATTTACGTTTTAAATGCACTGTTTAAAAAATGGATAAGGTATATATTGATACACTATTTACATCTGCTTAGTAAATAGTGGAAGGAACTGGGACAGAAAAGCAAGAGAAAATTTCATTGGCAATCATACTTTTTAATCTGAAAAAGAGCAATGCAGAGGAATTAAGCTTGAAACCATAGTTGAATTAAGATGTGTATAAAAAAATATTGAAGGCTATGAAAAATGATAAAATGCTTTATCTAGGCATGTGAAAATTAAAAAGGTGATTAATAAAACTATATCTGAAAGTGGTAAATGCGATGAGGGGAAACAGATTGAGCAGAGATAAAATTTGTAAGTGAATTTACGCACCAATATTAATAAAAGCACCTTAATAATTATAGCATCTAGATTTGAAGCAATCATACAGTCCAGTAATTCTAACTGATCCCTTTGCCAGAGAAACGCCAGGGATATCATGTTAAGTCTGGCACAAACGTGCTCAACACGGATCCGCTGATAATTAGATAATATAGCCCCGACAGCAACACCTTTAATCTCCGGATCAGAACTTAAAAGAGATTGTATCAATCTAAAGAGATCTTCAACCTATACATTTATACTAGTCAAAAATAAAACCTCGTCCAGGTCCGATGAATAATAATCAAAACCTTTACAAATTGCTGAACCTGATAGTTCGCGTTTATAAAGAGGCAAATCTAGCGCCTTTGCGATAGCTTTAATGCATTCATTACCAACACATTGAAACATATGGCTATCCATCTCCATAGCACTATTGTATCATTTAGATCAAATAACAAAATAACCAATTATTATCATCCAATGGAGGCGCAAGATTAATTAGGCCAACAACCTCATGACCATGTACAATACATTCCATTAGATTAAATATACTATCTTTACCACCACTAATAAGACCAACTACTTTCATGACGTAGAAGTATGCAAGGCAGATCCTCACAGATTCATGAAATGTGGGTATAGGTGCCAATTTGATAAACAAATATTAATCAAAAAAATGCAACATGATTATTTTTTCTTAAATAAATTTAAAAACTTTATATTGTATTAATCTAAGTAAATCTATTTTTAAACTTTACTGTTAGTTGCATTTTAATATTTGCTCTATAAGGTTAAAGCGTATATTGTGTAAGTAGGCATACTCTTTATACAGTGTAAAACTCTATCCATTTTGCTATCCATTTCATTTTAGAGCAAACTTGGAGGAATCAAGTTATATTGTTTATTTAGTCCATTATTGTGAATTCCACATTATTTGACCATTGTAGGTATATTGATATTTCTATGGCTACCCTAATCTTCTGCCTATTAGAAATATCCTTAAATCAGGTTATGTGTTTGGCATAAGACCAGTTCAACCAATTTTCCGTGTTATCCATGAGCTCGGACAATTTGATCACCAGAACAACAAAGAGTTGAGGCTGATTTGTATGGGCAGCAAGATCACTAATAGAACAACCACCAATCCCCAAAAGTTAAAGTTGCTTCTTCGAGCAGGCTACATGCGAAAAAAAGGTTTTTCTTGATTTCCGAAGGTTTTTTATCCGTTTAGTTATTGCAATTCTATTTCCTCTGATTAACGATAGGTCCTTGACGCAGACGTTTCCTTTATGCTAGTCTTGTGCATTCTTGTTGGAGTACCTTTCAATTTGTTTGAAGAGGCAAGTAAAAGAGATGTGTAAGTTGGTTACACGGAAGGCTGTGTGGCATTGCCTGATGAGCTGAGTCGCAGAGAGCTGCTCCTAGGACCTATTCATACAAACCTACAACAACAACTCCAAAATAACCTTCTCACAGTCTCCAGTGGAACCAACTTACAAATCCCTTCCACACGCCTTTTAAAACGAAATAAAAGGTACTCTAACATCAATATATTGAAAGATTCTTCGAAACC